TGACAGATGTTCGCTTTTAGAGAATTTGAGTGGTGATGGATGACTTGGTGAAAACTAGAATTAAATCTTTTTTCACGATAAAGAATTTTTTTTATCAAGTCAGTCTAATTTTCAAGAATATAAGTGGTTCAGAAAAATAATGAAATAAAATTTTTAAAGAGTGACGTCATCGTCAAATCCAACGTAAATAAAGTTCACAAACGTTCGGTAATTTTCAACAGACCTTTGACACCACGAGATTCAGCTCTTACATACAAATGCAGAAAAAGCAAAATAAGAGAAAATTGTTCAAAAGAACACGCGAACTTTTCACAATAAACGTGCTCGATATTCCACCCGTTTCATTCACCGCTCGACGCCATACCTGTCTTTCTCCTACTGCGTGAAGTTGGAGCGAGATATCGATTTACTTCACGGCGCGCGAACCTCATGTATATTAAAACGAAGTTAGGCGATGGTATCTGAAAAGCATTTCACGACACAGAATGAATAACAACGAAGGCGACGGTGGATCACGCGATACCGGTTAGTTCCGGGAAACTTTTGCGGTCCGTATATGATGAAAGATCGGTGATAACTCGATAATACATGAATAGCCTATAATTAGCAATAATTTGGACGAAATGTTGGCTGGCCTGGAAGATTTACCGTTAGTTTTTGGAAATAAGGAATGGTTGATGACCTTCCAGGTTAGGTGTATCCTTTGTAAATTTCTCTAATTCGTTATTATCAATTTTGAAAAGAAAAAATATCTACTGAGGTTTTATGTTAATTATCACAATAATAGTGCACTGCCCTTTGTAGTGGTTTACCATGAAGTTGGTCATTTATCGGCGGTGGTAAAAAAGTGTCTACCTATTGCAACTATGCGAGTAATATAATTCTTCATTCCAAAACATATCATCTTAGACAATCTGTCAATGTTTTACGTTCATTCTGAAACACGCTGTACTTATAGAGTGTGTTCCAAAAGCAATGTTTAAAAAGATGGAAAATTCGAAAATTTGGTCATTTTTTAATAGTTCCAAAAGCAAGTGTGGTGCCATCTGTTACGATAACTCAGATGCAATGTATGTATGCCAAATGTCGCGTTCGCAATGACCTCACCACGGCTGCCAAGCGATGGTGAAACTATCGCTTTGGCGATCGAGCCAATGATATTCGATATCCGCGTATATATAGTTTCAAGTTAAGTTTCATCGATCGACAATGTTTATTGCCTCTTTAGTTAGAGATGATGCATTGCTGAATGAAATGTGTGAAGTTATAGAAGAGCTACTCTAGAAGACACTTGATTGAAAATCTTTTGGCACTACCATCCATCTGTTTTCTTAAACAATGAATACGACTGCATTCATACTTTATATCCGTAGGTACAATTCTGAATTATAGAAAAATGCATTGCAATCAGGTTTTTATAATTTTATACATTTTGATTATTGCAAAACCTTGAATTCTCTTCTTTCAAATCTGACTTTGTTCTGACTATTCTAAAATATATATTCGATACTAACCTAACCTTAAAAAAAAATTGCAGAAATTTTTAAAAAAGGACCCAAGATTTTTGCATTCCTTTTGAAACATCCTGTACATAAATTAATTAATTATGTTTACATTTCACATTGAACGTATACGTACACGGGTCCATAATCCTCAGAGGGTCAACATAACCTTAATAATAGTGAAAACAAGGATATAGAATCAAACCTAACCTAACACTTCAGACAATGAAGTACGTTTGAATGATTGATACGTGAAGATAATCAAATCCACTCGAACGCAGAGTATTTGGAGAGTAGCTAATGTCTGATTCACACACGAGGTATAACACGAGGTAATACAAGAATTCGTCAGACGTAGGCTAATTTCATACAGTTGATAATAAAACGTGGCCTAGAAATGTCTATCGTGATGAATGCATTTGTATTGACTCGCGTGCACCTTTTCCCTACTGGGTCGACCTTTTTTTCCGTGACAGAGCTGGTCTTCCATGATATCGATACGAAGACAGAGCCGTATCAATGGAAATTTGTCTTGTTTACGGTTGTCGATATTTGCCATTACTCTTCCCAAACATGTTCAAACAAATATTCATTCGTGTACAATATGCGGTACATACATAATATATTGCAAACATACTATATCACATTGTACATATAACACCAATATTATATATTACACTTGTACTACAATATAATATACTGTGCAAACCAATTCAGCAGTATAATATGTTACACATACAGGGTGGCTCAAAATATCTGCCTTATTTGTTGTTGTATGCAAAAATTTCTCAGGACAAAGTTACTCTATTTCAGGGGGCACGTATAATCGTGGAAACTGTTTTTTTCTCAAGGTCATTGATTTACTAAATTTTAAGGTCATCGTTATTCTTCTAAATGGAACCCACCCCATACTCTTTTTCAATATCCCTGTAGAGCAGTGGTTCTCAAACTTTTTTGTCTGGCGGCACACTGAAATCATTAAACAAAATTTATAAAATTAAATTATTATTATTATTATTAATATAAAATTAAAATATATAATTTTTTGTTTTAGATTTAGATATTTAGATATTTGTAACAGTTAAATATTTGGCTTTTTGCATATAAACAATTCAAAATTTCGCAGCACCCAGTTTTAGAACCACTGCTGTAGAGAGTGAAAAATCAAATTCAACGACCTTCATAACCATACAATTCGCATCGTTCAATTTCGAGATATTTAGATGACATAGTTCATGTGAACAACATAATTAACAATAACACAATTCGTACAATATATTATACATAATCTTACACAACAATTAGAATGAAAAACAAGGCGCGTATCTTTAATATCGATTCGAAGATGGCAGACGAATCCGTGGCGCCCTACAACCGGCACTTTCCTCCAGTTATTATTTCACCCTCTTCTCCTTCTTTCTTCCTCGCCAGTTGTTTTTCGTCTACTTCGTTTTATCGCGAACCCGACTGATAGTAGTTCTGACCAATGAGACTCGTAAAACATCCTCGTGTTCCGGGGTTTTATCTTCGCCCCCCATAACCTAGTTTCCCGGTTTACGAGATACAAGCCGTTCTTGTTCTCTCGTTCTCCCTCATCCCCCTTCTCCAACGCGCCCTTTCCGTCCCGGTGTCGCGATACGCGCGCACCATTCGTTGAATTATTCAACGGGGGAACTTGTGTACATGTGAGGGCTCTGGTGTCTGACTGGGAACAGTGCTAGTTCGTTTGCTATTTTTGCTTGCTCTTTGGTGTTATTGGGTTTCGTTGAGGACAGGGTGAAAAATTGGACATTTGTTAACCGTAATTCGTATGGTAAAAAGTAAGAAATGTAAAATGGACGTATTTTGTAATTTATCCTTTAAATAAATAAATGCCTGAGGTCTTTTAAAAATTTGGTATCTGATATGGATAAAGCGGTAACATTTTTTTTACAATAAATATTAGATTTTTTAAAATTTGGACAAGTGAAGAACAATTTGAGAATTTTCAACGATATTTTTTTTTTAATTTTAATATCTTTTGGAAATGAATAGAGATAGATAGAGGTGGTCAAGGTTGTATTTTATATTAAATGTAAATAGCTGGACGGATTTGGAAATGCACCACTTTTTGGGAAGAAGGATGAGTCGTGTGAAGGAACATCTTGTCCTAAAATAGAGGACACGCTGTTTCTCTGAAAACAAACAAAAAATGAAATCGAAGTCAAATAAGTTTTTTTATTGCTTCAGTGAAATTGGATCAGTACCAGTTTCCTAGACTTTTACCACTATTTTATAGTCGTCCTTATGCGTTGAAACAGGCATCGTTACCGGAGCATTAAATTCACTAAAATTTATTAATCAATTGACCCAATATCGGTGAATCAATTCAATCTTCGTTTTTTTTTTTATGGTAATCT